TAGTCATATATTTCTATTAAATTAAATAAACACTAAGAAATAAAAATAAAGTGAAATATTCCAAAAGGTTAAACCCATCTATTTTCATTGTATTTTCCAAATTCGAAGTAAATTCAAACATAAATAACTTTTATCGTTTGAATATTTTCCCTTTTCCTACCATGTTCTTCATTTCAAAGGTAGCCATAATCCTTGCAGTGTCAAAATTTGTTTCCTTGGCTGAAGTCCGGGTGATGTTGTTGCTTATTTTGCTTTATATTATACATTGTCAGTTGAAGGGGATGTGTAGGAGTATCTCTTCCAATTCTGGTGATAAAGGATGTGACAGTATTTCTCCAAAAAGAAAGAGTAGAAGTCCTAAAGCTGCTCAAAAGTCATCTGATCAGACTGAAAGTAGTGAAATGAGTACTAATTTCAGCCAGATCAAAAATCAAAATGCAAAAGAGAGAAGACGTGGAAAGAGGCCGAAGGTTGAAGGTTTGGTGACGTCTGAGCAAGGGTCAAGTAGTAAGAGGATTGGTAAATCAAAATATGGAGAAGATGCGATCAAGGTAATTCAAGGGTTTGTTTCTGACTTAAAATGCTGGATGAAAGATGCTTGCTTACATCATCTGTCTTATTGCAGAACATGCACAAATATTCCAAGTGGCCGTTTAGTAGCCTTTTTTTGGCTGATCATCCTTATAGCAAGATTTGGAAAATGCTGTTTTTTTCCCATCATTTGCAGTGAAGCCAAAAACTCGTTATTTTTTGGTTTGGGAATATGATGGAATAAAGCAAAATGACTCACTGAACTGTCTACGTTTCTTTGTTATGAAGTATCAGTCAATCCATGCAATTTTCGACGCAATTTTCACTATGTGTCATCCGGAAACACTCTCTTTGTGCTTTAGTATAGGGGTAAGACTGCGTACATCTGACCCCCCTTACCTCACCGAAGGTGAGAGCCTTTGCGGCACTGGGGTAATGATGAATGAATGATCTTTCCAGCAAGATTTGTTACGAAATACTAATTTTATTTCACTGCCTATGCCAAGTTTGTTAATAATGAAAAAATAGGGCTTTTAGTTGAAGTACTTTTTTGCAGAGTTTACTAGGGATTATCATTTTAGCCTTTTCATATACTTCTGCTTTATTTTCGTCATTAAAATATATTTAAAAACTTTTTTATATTTCCATAAGTCAGGTATTCCAGCAGCTTCATGAAAATATCAGCCGCAATCAGTAGTTTCCGGCTTTCAGCAATTTCATCAATTTTAGCCAAACTAACCTTTACCAAATGATGATTCTATTTGTGTTGAACAATTGTCTTTTTTATCCTTAGACTTTTGGAACTTTTTTCCCTCCACATTTATTGATTTCACTAGTTTGTTGGTTATGATACTTAAAGGAAAGTATACACTAGTTTGTTGATTTCCCTCCACTTAAAAGATTATCTGTTTCTTGCAGAGGCTCTTTGAATGCTTCAAGGAAAATCAATACCCAAATCGTGTTCTCAAGGAAAAATTAGTTGCAGAATTAGGATTGACAATCCAGCAGGTGCATTAATATTCTCCTATCTGCTAGGCTGTGATACATTGTTACTTTTATTGCTTTCAGTTTCAGATACGGCACACTATTAAAGGATCCATTTGGAACTTGGAATATGCCAGATAAAGAAAATATAATGAGAAATATAGGGGAAAATGCTACTACCCTCCTCTTTTAGTTTGGCATGATTACTAATAAAGTGGTTGAAAAGTAAAAGTTGTGGTTGAGATTTGAGTAGAATAAAATGAAATGATAAGGACCACATATTTCTTGCCAAGAAAGGTAACTGCACATTCATTTTGGAACAACCCAAAAAAGAAAGTAAGACAACCAAAATGGGACAAAGGGAGTATTAAACATATTTTCCTGCTATTTTCTTTTGAAAGTTTTTTCAAAAATTTGATTTTTACTTGAAAATTGTCAAGTTCCTTCAAAACGGGCTCAAAAAAGGTGTTTGTCGTGGATGACCCCAGAGGTGCTCTTTCTCCCTTCCCCAAACTATTAAAATACAAAAGGCATCACTAGAGGCTAGCGGTTTAGACTGGTTCCTAGGTTTGGGAAGAAAGGAAATAAAATTGATCTGAACACCTTCTATTTACCAATTTTCCAGAAATTTTTGATGGCTAATGAAATACCACTATAAACACACTTTGTGTGCGTTTCTCTATTCCATTCCTGTAAATTCCTGTAAATCTTAAGACCATTCAGGAGTTTGAAATAGTGCATCCGTCCAATATATTTGCCAATTATCAAACAAACAATCCCTTTTAACAAAATACAACTACAAACAATCCAATGGTTTTACAAACAATCTCTAACCATTCTATTTCCTCGTCGTATCTTTTCCTTTTTGTCTTCTCTTTTTTGTTATTTTGTTTTTTTCATCTGTAGACTAAAATACCGCTTACTTTAAAGATACTTGAAACTTCAAAAATTAATCATATTTCATTATCCTTTTAGTTTTAAAAGGAAAACCAAGCACAAGAAAATAATTTTTCTCATCATCCCCCCTGCATTTCATGGGATTTAAACATTCCCTAAATAAAACTAGAATTGAATAAAAATGGTTTATTTGTGACCCCGTGCCGGTGCAAGACTAGGCCCCTACTTTTTTGTATTCTTTGAAATTCGGTGTTATTTTTGTTCGGTTATACATGTATTACCTTTAGATTATGCATGGTGCAGGTTAATAAATGGTTTGAAAATGCTCGCTGGAGCTTTCACCACTCATCAACAAATCAAGCTACGAATCAAACGTAACTGAAGTTGTACTTTGACACCACCCTCCCCCCCGAAGCAAAGACGCCACCTGTATATTGTCAAAGGACACTTCTTGCAATGGATGGGTAATACCATGGAACAACTGCCAACTTGTCTCGGTTAAAGTGGAAATGATGATGAGATGTGGGTGGTTGAAGAAGTATCCGAGGCAGGCATGCTACAGCAACAGATGCAAGTTGAAAGCCTAACTCTCTCATAATGTCTCATTAGGCATCAGATTAGTGGCAATCTTGCCTTCGATTTACAAGGACAGCCGACACTAAAGTTTCTGATTTGCTCAACGTCTTTCCCTAGGTAAGGTGGTAATGTTAACCTGAACTTTGGCTATAAGCCTGCAAGTACCATTGGCTCTGGCAAGGAACCTTGTCTAATCGCCATTAGTAAAAGCATGACTATTATTTGGTAATGTCGATTAACAATTTTTATTTGATGTTGTAATTTGTAACTTTAAAATCTGTTTCTTTTCTTTGCTTTTTGAATATGATTTGTATATACTTATGTTGACTCAAGTCATTGTTCCATTAACAAATTGGTTTTCCGCAAATTGATCTAGTTTCTGGTGATAAAGATGGGGTTGTGACTTGTGAATGTTTTCTGGAGTATTTTGGTAATAGTTTTCCACATCAATTCCCCCAGAATAGGATCACTGATCACAACCGATAGTCTAGATACAGAAACGGACTGAAACAGCATTGGAAATAGAATCTGACGGAACTGACCTGCAATTGATTTACCCGCTTAAAGCTCCAGTACTCTCCTTACCCTTAACAGCCTTACATGGAAGTAGGGGTGGACCGGGCCCGGTCCGGTTCGGGCCTGGGCCCTGCCGGGCTTGGATGGTTTTGGGTAAGGCCCGGGACCGGCCCGGGAGTCTACCGGTTCCGGGTCGAGCTGGTTCTGTTTTTTTGTGTTTTCTTATTTATTCCCCCCCCCCCCCATCGCCCCCCAAAACCCTCGGAAACACCCAGCCCAGCCCATGCCTCGGGCCGGGTTTAAGCCCGGTACCGGAACCGGTTGTCCGGGACGGGCCAGTCCCGCACAGTAGCGGGCCGGGCCGGTTCCATGCCTACATGGAAGTTTCATTTGAGAAACAGCCCTACTTTCGTTTGTTAAGTTTTTACAAGAATTTACCGGAACCAAGCACTCCAGCCTAGCTGGTTGCGAGGTTACCGTGCCTAGTGGGAGGTCTCGAGTTCGAATCCCGCTAGGCACACAAAAGGGTTGAAACTCAATGGAGTGAGGTTCAGCCCTGATTACTCCAGGCTCCCCCCAGCCCCCCTCCCCCAGACCCCCTTGGAGTAAAAAAAAAAGTTTTTACAAGAATTTTATGCATTGATCTTACCAAATTCATAATACTACAAAAACAACCATAGCACATACTACTCCTATTTTTTGCTGCTGTAAAACAAACTCAAAAGGCCTTTGAATGATCTAAATATCTAATAGCCCCAAATAGTATCCCAATTCTCAGAGGTTCCAAATGAGTAAGTCAGGTGGAAAAATAACTACCAATAGTTGCAACTTATAATGTTTACGGGGGCGGAGCCAGAGCATCGGGTCGGACATGACCGATACAAAGAGTATTTTTCGGGGAAAAAATTACAAGGATTTTTTAAAAATAAAAATATAAGCATTTTTAAAATTTAAGATGGGACAAAATCAGGGTTGCCCCCCCCCCCCCCCCACTACACCCCTAAATGTTTATAATGGATTTATTTCCGTTTCATACTAAATTTAAGCAAATCAAATTTAAACATATTAGATTAGAATGGATCAAACACGACAAAGTTTAAGTAACATAGACGACTACGTAGTAAAATACTCGTAAATAAGACAATTACAAGATGAGATCAAACTAGATTGAACAAACATTTTTACATAATTGTGTATGCACGAGACAATTGGTGCACGTGTTATCTGTGTGATTGTGTCCATGGACAATTAAGGAATGTACACATAGTCTGTTGCACAAATAGTTACAGACAAATGTACACAAATTTCGTGAGGAAATATAATTTTTATATTTTTTTGTACTCCCTAAAACTCCGCAATAAACATCTTTAGGTCAAAAAGGTTAGAAGGAATCTACCGCAAGGACAAATAATTCGTAAAAAAAAATGTGGGCTCCGACTTTGTTTTTGAATTGAACAGATATAAACCAAAAAAGGCGGTTAATATTCCCGCCATTTCTCATACTTTCTCTTTACAAATTCTCTATCTCTATCAGCCGGTCAGCCCTCTCTGTCATAGAAAAAAAGGCTTGAGCTCAACCATCTGAATTTTGTTGAACTCCATTGTTACATGTATCCCGAATCCCACATTGCTTTAAAACCCTAGTTCATTTATGATGAGTGGAGGTGATAATGGAGGTGATAATGGGGTGGTAGCTGGGAGGAGATCGAAGAGGAGTACAGCATTGGGCTCCACAGGAAATGAGTCCCTCCAAGTTCTAGGGCTTCCGGCCACAAAGAAGCGTGTGGTATTGGGCGACATCACCAACAAGTGCTCCGCTCAGAACTCAGATCTCCTGAAAAACCAGGAGCTCGGATCCGGACCCGCATTGAAGAAGGTCAGCAGCCAGGAAGCACCAGATGCTGGATCTAATGACGATGAGAATTGCACTCCTGATAACAGTCTCAAGTCTTCCTACGCACCTCTCATCTATCTCCATCTTCATTCCATGGAGGTTTGTACCAGCGCAACTCGCTCAGTATATATTGCTGCAATCTGTCATTCATTTGTTAGTTTTTCTTGCTTTCTGCAAAATAGGTTATTAGAAATGTCTAATTCCTGTGTAGGTTGAGGAGAAGAGACGGCCTCTGGCAAATTACATGGAGAAGGTTCAAAATGATATATCTCCTAGCATGAGATTTGTTTTAGTTGATTGGTTGGTTGAAGTCGCTGATGAATACAGACTAATGTCAGATACGCTTCATCTCACAGTCTCGTATATTGACAGATTCCTTTCTTTCCATACTCTGAACAGAACAAAGCTTCAGCTTCTGGGTGTTTCTTGTATGCTTGTGGCCTCGTAAGTTATTGAGAGCTGAGGCTCTCATTTATTAATTATAATTGGTGGGCTTTATATCCCTTATACTAGTGTACCAACTAAACATATTTAACTTTGCAGAAAATATGAAGAGATTCAGCCACCACATGCTGAAGACTTTGTGTATATAACAGACAATACATTCACTAAAGATGAGGTAAGTTTGTATGTCTCTGATCTTGGTTTTGTTTGGATTTCCAATAATGCTCTGGATTGAAATGTGTAAGTGTACCTGTCTTTCATGTTAGGTTGTTCTCATGGAGAGAGACCTCCTTAAGTTCTTAGGCTTTGAAACTGTCAACCCCACGGCAAAAACTTTTCTCAGGTTGATATTGATTTAATCACATTGAATTTCACTTGCTTGTGTTTTGCAATTCAAGACTAAAAATATAGTTTTCTTAAAGCCCAAATGCATTTTATTCACATTGCTCTTCTTACTCGCGTCTTTTGAATGTCCCACCTAAAGCTCCGCATTTCTATTTTAGGAATTAATTAGCACTTTTAAACCAAAATTTAATCATCAAATATTAAAAATAATACCCTACACTATAATATCGCAGTCTTTATCTATTACCTTATTAAGTTATACATCCATCAAAACTATTTCTCAAAATATAATCGAGAAGCTTACTTAATTGTTGTCTAAATACCGCGTCATTTTTCAACGAGAAGCTTAAGCTGAGACGGAGATAGTAATACCATTATTATTTAAGTCTCTTTCTATAAAACCAAGATTGTGTTTAAGTATTTAACGTTTTTCCCCTTCTTTATTGATCTTTAATAATAAATAGATGTTACTACAGGGGTATTCTTTTAGTTTTTCTCTGTTAAATGACTCACTCTTTTCAAATCGTCAATTATTGTGGACGGGAGTAATAATTAGAAAATTAAATATTATACCCATAATTTTCTGCTTTTATGTTCTTATTATTCTTGTATCACCTTGTGTTGCTTTGCTAATGGGAACTTTTTTGGAGACAGGATCTTTACCAAACCTGCTCAAGATAACACTAAGGTAAGCAAACATAACTTGTATTATTGTATATGGAGTACATTTGTCCTTGCTGTGGCGCTTTGCTATTATATTTTTTTCCTGAAATTATAATAACTTGCTGAACCCTTCTCCAGTTTTCGACACTGGAATTTGAATTCTTGTGTTGTTTTCTTGCGGAGCTAAGCCTATTAGATTATCGGTGTCTCCAGTATGTGCCATCACTGATTGCTGCATCCGCTGTTTTTCTGGCAAGACTTACAATCCAACCAACACTTCATCCTTGGGTAAGCCTTCTTTAAGTTGCCATTAATGGGGTTATGTATTTCAGTTAAGCTAAATATGTAATGTCCATTTATTTTGTGTTTGTAGAGTTTTGCACTTCAACAATATACAGGATATAGGGCATCCAAATTGAAGGATTGCGTTCTTGCATTACATGAAATGCAATTGAGCAAAAGAGTGGGATCTGCAGTGGGGGAAAAGTACCATGATCACAAGGTATGGTTTGGTTTGCTTTAAGCAATGTAGGTGAGAAACACTTCATACTTTCACCCTTAGCTTGATTTCTTCCAACTGTCATGTATGAGATTTCCTTTCATGTAAAGGTTTGCTTAGAGCATACTCCCTAAAAATATAGACAAATATTCGAAAGAGCAAATTGTGGGGAAGGCATGATAAATTTATCTTAAAGCATTAGTTATCTCATTCTCTTTATATATTAGTGGTAAAACCAAACACAAAAAAGAGAGTTTCTTAAAATTTTCTCATTCTCTAGCATGTTCTGACAAAAGTCATTCCACTTTTGTATACAGTACAAGCATGTTGCCACATTGTCTCCACCCTTGGAGATTCCTGCATTTTACTTTCGTGATGCTTGAAGAAGAAATAGACGAATGCTGATGCTATGTGTTGAAGATCTGCAGGCTGCAGCATATAACTTGAGGATTCTTCAGGTTTTGTTTGGAGGGGTTTCAGATGGGGATGGATTTTGGAGGCTCATTTTGTATCTTGATAAAAAAGAATAAAAGTTAAGCAGATTATATGATCACCCACACTATGTGTGCCTTAATTTATTTTACCATAAAATTTCAAATATATATATATATATATATATATATATCAAGATACAGATGATGTAATTATAATGACCATCAAAGTCATTATTTTCCAACCCGATATCTGGTCTTGGGCTAGGCAATGGATACTGCTTGCTATCAAAGAAACACAAAGATTTTAGAGTTGCATGAAAATGCAAATAAAGTCACAATAAAAACCAGTTCCTTGTATAGAAGTTCATAATTATGAGGAAAAGTTGTACTGACTAGGGTGAAAAGGGCCCTTTTTTCAGTGTTCACACATTTCAGCTCCTTGTTGAATGTGTAGACTCTTCCCGAGATAGTGTGTATTGTGACAGTAATTCTATTATAATGTAATCTTGTAACAGTATTGTGATCATTTGACCAAAAGAGAACTTGTTGAATGTCCCCTCCATTCCAGCAGATGCTGAATGTCAAGCCCCTGCAGGCTTTCAAGCCCTTGACACTACCTATTTGACCATATATCTTGAAGAAGGGCAGGTAGCAAGTATAAATCTGTCATGCTGCTCTGGACCAGTATTTCTGATATTCCTGCACTGAAGCTGGCTAAAAATGTAGATTAGCACTTTTCTCAACCCTTAAAAATGAAGATTAACACTAAGCGTGTCGAGAGACAGAGTCTAAGTTATGATGTGGGCTTGATGAAAATGCCCTTATAACAGTTCTTTTGGTTAAAGTGACATACAAAAATAAGAGGGGAGTAACAGGAAAAAATATGAGAATGAGGAGCTTTTGTTGTTTGGCTCTAGTCCGGGCCAAACAGGATTGGAAGGTCCAGTTTGGGCCTATTCTGGACAACCCGGAAACAAATTGGAATGGGTTTCAGTCTAGAAATGTAATTACGGGAAAATGGACTGGTTCTTTACTCGACATGTCCCGGTCTGGGTCACCCCTATTTGACTCTTATGGAAGGAAATGAAGCTTCCATCCAATTTCTACTCATTTCTTCATAATTTGTCTTCTAACAAACAACACACAAAATTCCCTAAACCTTTTATGCCCCTGCTACTCTTTGAAGTTATAAGGTACAAAACTTTATCAATTGGTTTAAATCATGTCATGCTTAACCAAAACATGTGAGCAGGCATGGAGCATTCATATTAGACAAAGTACACAAAGGAATATGACAGTGAGTAGGGAGATGTTCTCACCCAAAGTTAGCATCTATCTGGAATGGAGGGTGAGCTGTGAATAGGTTGGCATAAAGCCCTCCTTCACGACTGACTTGTTTGACCATATGGTAGGCTTGTTCACTGTCTAAAAGGTGGGCCTGTAGAGCGATCTTCAACACAGTTGACCTCCCTGGACCATCATCTCCTGTTTGAGAAAGGACATTGAGTGACCTTTTAGACTGTGCATCATTCGTTCAAGGATATAACTCTGACAAAAACTGTTGTTCTTATTGTGTCAATGACCCATGGTCATTAGCCCATGCATTTACTGTTAAGAAATGGGATGCATTCGTAGGATAATGACTTGTGCATAGAGAGAGGGTTAGAGAACGAGGTGAGATAGCTTGAGGACAAACTTTTTTTAATTAGTGTTTTTAGCAGCTGCCCAAAGGTCAGGGGTTTCCTCGGGTGTTATTGAGTGCGCTGGGTATAGGCCAAAAACTCAAGAAAATGTGAGACATGCTCATGAGTCACCTTTGGTAACTGATCTGTTCAATGATGATAGTCATGTTCTATTACTAGTAAGTAATAACTAAGGAACAAGTGAAAAAATTGTTTGGTCACGAATGCAAGTCCGTAGTTTTGCTCACACCCATTCCATTACGGAACCATCCTTGGAGATTTTGGTTGGATAAAGGCGTGTTCGAGCTTTCTGAACTCTCAATATCACAGCATCCTGATTCCTGACTTCTGTCCAAACCCTGTTCATATATAAAACATGTTTTTCTTACAAAACCAAACTCCCTGCTAAACTTGGATTTAAAAAAAACACAAGAGAATGATTGCCAAAGGAAACTAGGAAAAACTGATCTACCTTGGCCGCAGAAACAATGACAGAGAAAACTTCTCTAATGATCATGTCCATGGTTGTTGAGTAGCTCAAACCGGCAATTCTACAACCAGGTGCAATGAAATTGTGCTCAAGTAAGGACTAAGGATGAAGGGTTAGTTTCCAGATATCCACCTCTTCCTTCGATCAACCAATCCAATACATATAAGGTACATCCTTCCAGTAAGGAGGAAATGCTGTGTTTTCTAGAAAACTCTCCCATCAAACATTTTTAGTATTACATGTTGAGAACTCTTCTTGTCAGGCCGGCCTGACCGGGAGAGCCGTCCGGCCGAGCCTTTTGGAGACCTTCCCGGTGGAATTTTTCGATGAAATTTTTTGAGCATGTTCCTCATGAAGTCTAGTTTGTCCATACTAAATTTCAGCTCAAAATTCGATCGGGAAGGCATTCAAATCTTTTTTTGAAGTTGACTGCGTCAAAATATACATATAAAAACGCAGTAAACTTCAAAAAAATATTTGAATGCCTTCCCGATCGAATTTTGAGCTGAAATTTGGTATGGACAAACTAGACTTGATGAGGAACATGCTCAAAAAATTTCATCAAAAAATTTCACCGGGAAGGTCGCCAAAAGGGCTCGGCCGGACGGCTCTCCCGGTCAGGCCAGCCTGACATGATGATTTCTCTACCATGACGTATAGAAAGTTAGAAAGTCTCCTGTACCTTATTTTAAGTTAGAAAACTTTCAAATGACACAACCTTAGTAGGACTAAAGAGAGTACAATAAAATATTCAAAATAAAATATTCAAACTTTCACATGACACTTCTTTTTTTTGAAATGATTAGAAAAGAAAAAAGAAAAGTGGCGTGTCAATCAGAAACGAACTTTCAAACTCTTAGGGAGTGTTTGCAACTGCTTCTGCTTAAAAAAAGCACTTTTGGAGATGTAAGGAAAAAGTGATTAGTAGGAAAAGCTGATAGTGTTTGAGAAAAAAGTGATTTTGAAAAGTAAAAGTTGATAGTGTTTGATAAAATAAGTGTTTTTTGTGTAATAGAAAAGGGAAAAGCACTTTTCACACGCAAGTCGAGAAAAAGTAAAAATTGGTAGTGTTTGGTAAATAAGTGTTTTTTAAAGTCAAAAGCTGAGAAGTGCTTTTTTTTAAGTGATTGCAAACACTCCTTTAGTCACACTCTAATTATTATACTATCGTATTAAAAAATACATGAACACTTACCTTGTCCATTGTATGAGTATAATGCTCTCATAAATGGGTAGAGAGCCATGCGCCACCCATTTAATTTTTGGTACACCTTGGAAAAGGGTATGCATATAATGTGAGTAAAACATTTCTTACTTCCACAGTTTTCCTTCCATTAATCGACAGAAAGGATATATAGTCAAATAATGGTTCTTGACACTCTTTGAGATTACAATGGGAGAGCATGCCAGTAGTTCATCTGAGGATTGATATTCAAGTGAGGGACAGTCACAAGGAAAGAGACAAGAATGAAAAAAACAAGATGAGTTCAAAGAGAATAATGAATCTTTAATGCAGAAGAATGAAATCAAATATTTGAGTCCCAGAAAATGCCAGGAAAGGATGAAAAAGGCTAAGGAGAATTATTTAGGAAAATGAAAGTACTAATTTAGGAAAATTATACCACTCCATTACGCGGAATAAGAAAATAAAAACTTTATATTCAAGAAAAAGAAAATAAGAACTATGCAATTCAGTATAAGTTGAAATTTGAAAAAGATAAATAATAAAAGCACAAATTATTTAAAAAAAGTACTACATCCGTCCATACAAGGTTCCCGTCCACTATTCTCCTGTCAATGTAAACTCTTCTTAATCTTTTAATCTAAATATTCAATTTTTATCAAATTTGAGTTTTTGTGCGACTTTATAAAACTTCTCGGAAAAATGGAAAAGAATAATTCCAATTATTAGTGATCTGTTTGAAATAATCCAAAGTATCAATTATCTGAATAATCCCAACTATTGAAAAATCTTCTCAAAATACTACACATATTCATAAATAATTAAATATTCATGAGAAGTATGGGACAAAGGGGTGTGATGTTGTTTTTAAGAAAAAGTAAAATTGTGTGGTTGGTATTGATAAATGTGAATAAAGTAAGAATGAATTTTAACCACTCAAATATTACCAAATATGGCATGAGATAAATTTAATGGGATGGACGAAAAAGGTAAAACAGGTAATAGTTAGAGGGACAGAGGGAGTATAAGTTATTTACGGGTAAATATAAGTCATTGGAGTATTTTGAAAAGATTTTTCAATAGATGGAATTATTCTGTGATAATTGATACTTTTGATTATTTCAAGCATATCACTAATCTGTGGGTTTATTCTTGTTCATTTTTCCAAACTTTTAATGTAGTTTTCAAATATGTAAATTTTACGGAGTATTTACTAATTTTTTTTAATAAGGGACAAGAATCAGTTAACTTTATGATTATTTAAAAATCATAAATCGCGTGGAAACTTTTCCACGAGACGAAGGGAGTAATAAGTTTTGGGATAATCAATTTAGTTGCAACGTTTAGTATTAAGGCATTGTTTGTTAGAGTCCATCTGATAACGCTGAAATTTACCGAATTGGTTGAATGTGTTGGAAATTTTATTGAAATGGTTGAATTAGATGAATATCTTGAATTATAAAAAAATTATACTCCCTCTGCCCCACTAAAAATGGAACAAGAGAAGGTGACACGCAAATCTATAAAAATGGTTTATGTGGTTGATATTGAAGTGATAAAGTAAGAATAAAGTATGAATGATTTATAGCCACACAAATATTACGTATGTGACAATCTTAGTGGGACGGACCAAAATGGTAAAATGAGACAATCTTAACGGGACGGAGGTGGTATTTAAAATAGATTTTGTATTTTTTGTGTTTAAAGAAAATAGATTTTGTATTAAACAACACAAAAGATCTAAAAAAAGGGAAAACTGTCAAATAGGTCCTCGAACTTTCATAAAAAAGTCAATTAAGTCCTTCTATAGGAGACTCTGTCCGGTCGTCGCGATTTGGGGCGGTTCCCGGTGGAATTTTTTGATGAAATTTTTTGAGCATCTTATTAATCAAGTCTAGTTTACTCATACCAAATTTCAACTAAAAATTCAATCGGGAGCGCATTCAAATTAATCCGAGAACGCAAAAATGCGCAGTTATCTTCAAGAATTAATTTGAATGTGTTCCCGATTGAATTTTTAGCTGAAATTTGGTATGAGTAAACTAGACTTGGTGAATAAGATGCTCAAAAAAATTCATCAAAAAATTCCACCGGGAACTGCCCCAAATCGCGACGGCCGGACAGAACCTCCTATAAAAGGACTTAATTGACCTTTTTATGAAAGTTCGAGGACCTATTTCCCAAAAAAAATGGGGTGGTTTGTCTATTACGGAGTAACATAATCGTCTAGTCACAAAATATAGATCAGCCGTATTAAGTTTGTAGGAATCATTTGTAGGCATTACAATTAGAAGCAGGCTGTGTAGAGGGGAGAAGGAATTGGTCTGGAATCTGGATGCTGAGTTGTAGAGAAATGAAGAAGGCGTTAATGGCGTACAAGGAGGTGCTCAGGCTAGTGAAGCGACTTCCAGAAGACACAAGGCCTTACTATGCCAAATACGCTCGAGAGAACTTCGTCAACTACAGAGAAGTTGACGCCGATGATTCAATTGCTCTCCACGAGCTGCTTCAACGTACCTACAATCATTCCATCTGGGTCCTGGAAAAGGTTAGAGAACAGCTTCACACTTCCCGCGTACTACTCCATACTTTAGTTGTATTCTCATTCCTTCAGTTCTATGTACCATGTGCTAATGTATACGTTTTGTTTGTTGTCCTCCCTTTTTGGATTCCGGCGGTTCCAGTACTCGGTGGACCAATCGTCGGCGATTAGGCTGAAGAATATCTGCTCTGCTTGAAGCTTGATGATACGTTTTGCTATGCCCACCAGCTGTTTGCTGATATTCTCCAAAGGAGGCAACTTACGAGTCATTTCTATTTTTATACCTTAAAATAACTTGATTATTACCCCGTACTATATGCAATAATAATATAGAGGTGTTGCGCTTCACAAGCTCCAATTTGTGCTTCCATCTGCCGTGTTGGTCATGGTCAGTGGTCACTACTCGTACAAGGAACTGAGCTTTTTTTGAGAGAGAGGAACTGAGCTTTTTGTGATCTCAGATTTTATATATCACATACTGAGTATTTGAATTTCGTTTTTGCACTTCAATAGAACTTTTTATGTTATAAAAATCGAAGTTTTTGTTGAAATATATTGAATAGTCATCTTCCAACTATTCATGATCAGGAACAATTATCATCATTGTTAATATAAATAAGAAATCATAATTATGATTTCTAGATGGTAATTGTATGGCTCACAATTAGCCCCTGATCTAGACATGATTACATTTTCTCCTATTAATAGGAGCATTCTCTAAACACACCATTATCACACTTCTAATAACATCTTTCTCACTAAGTATTCAGACTATACTTTATCTCCCTGATCTTCTGCTTATTTCCTTCCATATTATAACACGTTATCAGCACGAATTTGCTCCAAATCCGTGAAATCATCATCTTCCTAGCAGATATGGAGTTAACTAAAATTTCTCCAAGTGGCTCTGAACAATGTCTAATAGACAGTGCCACAACGCACACCATTTTGAGACATAGAGATTATTTTTCTCATATGACATTAGTTGATGCTAATGTCAATACAATCTCAGGTGTTGCTAAACTCATTGAAGGTTCTGGAATAGCCTGTGTGATTCTCCCAAAAGGGACAAAATTAATAATTAAAGACGCTTTATACTCTAGTAAATCACGGAGAAATCTTTTGAGCTTTAAAGATTTGCGTCTAAATGGTTTTCATATTGAAACCATGTCTGAAAATCAGAAGGAATATTTATGTCTAACGACAAATAGATCTGGCAATAAATACATTTCTGAAAAAATGTCAGCATATTTCTCGGGACTGTATTATACATATATCAGTCCAATTGAGATAAATGTGGTATCTAAAATTTATGACCACAATTCCTTTATCTTGTGGCATGACCGTTTAGGTCATCCAGGCAGCACTATGATGCACAAAATTATTGAAAATTCACGTGGACATTCATTAACTAATGTCAAGATTCCACAATCAAGTGATTTTCCATGCAGTGCCTGTTCTCTTGGCAAATTAATTATCAGGCCATCTTTATACAAAATTGGAGTTGAATCTCCTGCATTTTTAGAAAGAATTCAAGGAGATATTTGTGGGCCAATTACCCCTCCGTGTGGACCGTTTCGATATTTTATGGTGCTCATTGATGCATCAACACGTTGGTCACATGTTAGTCTTTTATCGACTAGAAATTTTGCATTTGCAAATCTCCTTGCTCAAATTATTCGTTTGAGATCACAATTTCCGGATTATTCGATAAAGAAAATCCGACTTGATAATGCAGGAGAATTTACATCCCAATCTTTTAATGACTATTGCATGTCAATTGGGATTGATGTGGAACATCCAGTTCCACATGTACATACACAAAATGGTCTTGCCGAATCCTTAATTAAGCGATTACAATTAATTGCTAGACCATTATTGATGAAATCCAGATTACCATCATCTGCATGGGGATATGCTATAATGCATGCTGCAAATTTAATTCGGCTTAGGCCAACGGCATATCATAAATTTTCCCCATTACAATTAATATCTGGTAAAGAACCAAATATATCCCACCTAAAAATATTTGGTTGTTCTGTGTATGTACCAATTGCTCCACCTTATCGTACTAAAATGGGTCCTCAAAGAAGGCTGGGAATTTATGTTGGTTTTAAATCACCCTCAATTATTAATTATCTAGAACCTATGACCGGTGACTTATTCACCGCGCGGTTCGATGACTGTCATTTTGATGAGACAGTATTCCCAGCCTTAGGGGGAGATATTAAAGAAATGGACCCACGTACGAAAGATATTACTTGGAATGCAACAAATTTATCTTTTCTTGATTCTCGCACAAATGCTTGTGAACAAGAAATTCAAAAGATTATTCATTTACAAAATGTTGCAAACCAATTGCCTGATGCTTTCACAGACTCAAAGAAAGTGACAAAGTCACATGTTCCAGCTATGAATGCTCCTTCTCGAATAGAAATTCCTGCGGAGATTAGCGAAAGAACACTTGCTAATGAATCTATGATACGTAAAAAACGTGGTAGACCACTTGGTTCAAAAGATTTGAAACCAAGAAAATTTAAACAGCAAGTTGTAGTTTGTGATGCCAAAGAAGTTCAACCTTCTCAAGAAGAAAATGAACATTTTGAAAATATCGGCCTTGAAGATAACATCAATAATAATGATACCTCAAAAGAGGATCCAATCACCTTCGAAGAGGTAAATATTCCAGATAAAGATAGAAACGTCGATAATTTCGAAATTTCAATTAATTACGTTTCTAATGGAATACAATGGAATAGAAATGATATTGATGTTAATGATATATTTTCATATGCCATCGCCACAGATATAATGAATGAATACGATGACAATGAGCCTAAATCTATTGACGAATGTCGTCGTAGAAATGATTGGCCAAAATGGAATGAAGCAATTCAGGTAGAATTAAAATCGCTAGAAAAGCGTAATGTTTTTGGATCAATTGTCCATACGCCAAAAGGCGTAAAACCTGTCGGTTTTAAATGGGTTTTTGTGCGTAAACGCAACGAGAAAAATGAAATCGTTAGATACAAAGCCCGACTTGTTGCCCAAGGTTTTTCTCAAATGCCAAGAATCGATTATGATGAGACGTATTCTCCAGTAGTGGATGCTACAACTTTAAGATTTTTAATTGGCATGTCTGTTTTTGAAAGGCTGCAAATGCGCCTAATGGATGTGGTGACCGCATATTTATACGGTTCACTCGATACAGACATATATATGAGAATTCCTGGAGGCTTTAAAATACCTGATGCTTATAGCTCGAAATCTCGAGATTTATTTTCCATAAAATTGCAAAAGTCATTATATGGATTAAAACAATCTGGACGCATGTGGTATAACCGTCTCAGTGAATATTTGATTAAAGAAGGGTATAAAAATGATCCTATTAGTCCATGTGTTTTCATTCAGCGATCCGAATCAGGATTCGCCATAATTGCAGTATATGTTGATGATTTGAATATAATCGGAACTCCTAATGAAATTGAAAATACTGCAAAATATCTCATGAAAGAATTTGAAATGAAAGACCTTGGGAGAACAAAATTTTGTCTCGGCATTCAAATTGAACATTTGAGAAATGGTATTTTCATCCACCAATCAAATTATACCGAGAAACTTTTGAAGCGATTTTACATGGATAAAGCACATCCGCTCAATTCTCCAATGGTGGTTCGATCTCTCAATGTGCATGATGATCCTTTCCGACCTTGTGAAGATGATGAAGAAATCCTTGGTCCCGAAATACCATATTTGAGTGCTATTGGAGCATTAATGTATTTGGCTAACAATACTCGACCAGATATTGCTTTTTCTGTAAATTTATTAGCCAGGTACAGTTCTTCCCCAACAAGAAGGCATTGGAATGGTGTCAAACATATATTCCGATATCTCAATGGTACAATCGATCTTGGATTGTATTTCAAGAATGGTGCAAATGCCACTTTAATTGGCTACGCGGATGCAAGATACTTGTCTGATCCACAAAAGGCAAAATCACAAACAGGATATTTATTCACCTATGGTGATACCGCTATATCATGGAGATCAATGAAGCAAACATTAACTGCAACATCATCAAATCATGCAGAATTAATTGCTCTTTATGAAGCAGGTCATCTTCCAACTATTCAAGGGGGAAGATGACCATTCAAGGGGGAGTGTTGAAATATATTGAATAGTCATCTTCCAACTATTCATGATCAGGAACAATTATCATCATTGTTAATATAAATAAGAAATCATAATTATGATTTCTAGATGGTAATTGTATGGCTCACAATTAGCCCCTGATCTAGACATGATTACATTTTCTCCTATAAATAGGAGCATTCTCCTTCATTGTAAACACACCATTATCACACTTCTAATAACATCTTTCTCACTAAGTATTCAGACTATACTTTATCTCCCTGATCTTCTGCTTATTTCCTTCCATATTATAACAGTTTTATCATTCTTATATGTAGCTTTATTTTCTTAATGTGATTAGAGACAACGGAAACAAATGGTGAATTAAATCTTTAATTGTTCTACTTCTACACGTCGACTCGACTTACATCTGTGCACAAACAATTGAGATTTTAGTAAAGGAAAACTATATGCGTAAGCTAATGACATGTACAATTAGCATTTTGTAACAAATGGTGAATTAAATCTTTAATTGTTCTACTTCTACACGTCGACTCGACTTACATCTGTGCACAAACAATTGAGATTTTAGTAAAGGAAAACAATTGAGATTTTAGTAAAGGAAAACTAATGACATGTACAATTAGCATTTTGTACCATTTTTCTTAAAGCTTTTATTGAGGTGTGCGGTGTGCCCAATGATGAAATAACTTCCAAAAGTTGCAAAAATAAAAACCCTATCCAGACTAAGTATCTCGCAAGTCACAACGCGATGTTTGTACTAGGGTTTGGTTTTTATCGGTTCCGATTCGGTTTGGAACGGGTTGGGAGAATTATTACCAAACTAAAACCATACTATTTTTCTGTTTGATTTGGTTCGGTTTGGATTTGTTATTTTTTAATAAAATATGAAAGATTTTTTGAATTTCTTTAGTTTGGTTCGGTTTTTATCAGTTTCGGTTCGGTCCGATTTAATACGGTTTGGAAGAAATACTACCAAACTCAAACCAAATTGCATACGGTCCGGTTTCGGTTCGGTTTAGTTCGATTTGGTACGGTTCGATTAAACCAAACCGTTATGCCCACCCCTAGTTTGTACCATGGTTTTCTTCAAAATGGGTATCAGTTTAATACTTTCAGTTTGAAAGATAAAAAGCACAAAAAACAAGAGGAAACAAATTAAAAACGCGTATCACATTTTAAGAACATACTACGTACTCCGTATATGAAAAATATTAGTTCATTTTCTTAAGATGAAGAGAAAAAGACCAAACCAACAAACCAAGAACGTGTACCAATGTGCACGACATGCTTCAACATGTTTGTTAGAACCTCCTTATAGATAGTATTATAAACATCATTTATCTATTCAGAAGTACCTTACACAACTCAGTATCGTGTCAACTAAGCTGAACCTAGAAGTGATGCCTTGCATAGTTTGAAACATACACTTCAAACTCCGCCTTTGCCTCCTGACAGACTGTTCTGTGATGCCCTCGATGAACAAGTATGTTTTTTTCTTACCCCTGGTCTAGTTACCTTTCCAGGCGGGATATGGTAACCCCTAGTAGTGATGGAAGCTCCAGACCAACCTCATACAGGACACAGGGTCCCTTTGTGTGTCACCTTCCAACTAGCATTTCAAGGAAAATATTTTATTTCCAATTCAGCTTCATAGTGTGCAGGTATGACTTCATTCTGAAGTGTAGACAAGCTCTGCTGCAGATTGTTTGTAGCGGAGCAAGAAACTCTGCAGTCATTGCTGATACATCATCAGGGGTTGTTGGCAATCCATTACCTTGAATGAGAATATTGACAAAGGAACCAGGTACTCCACTATGCGGCTGTTGCAGCTGAAGAGTAGATGGGACTGGACATGCAGGCTGAGCCATGTCTTCTTTGTTAGTAGCAGTGGCAGCCAAAGAAGCTGCCACAGCCACCTGCTGCTGCTGAGAGGCATTATTACCCCCTGTTTGGCTGATTCTTTGAATCTGATTTGTCTTCATCAAACATGAGCTTATTCAATTCCCTGATTAACCATTGCCATGAAGCTACGAGCAAGTTTTTTCAAGTCATCAGGATCAACTTGCTTTGATAGCTGGAAAGCTTTTACAAGATCATGTGCATATCTTGCACCATGTGTAAGCTCTAAAGGCCCCCGATAGAAGAATTTGCATTGATAATTCAAGCCTGAACAAAGCATGCTCAAATGGACCCATGTTGAGTTTTGAGAAATGAAGATCGACATTCTATTTGATGAAACCGGTAGCTCTGAGCTCTTATGTTTTATATATGCATTGCACAGCTACCATAAAGAATGCATAATATATATGTATATGAAGCCCTTAGAAAAATTATCCTGATTTCACAATAGTGTGAGAATCCATCACCCGTATGGCAGTGCAATATGTTACCATGGCAATGAAATGTTGACTACTAACCAAACCACGTCATGTATTCAATGTCAGATATCACTCAGTTTCATGAAAGATCGATGTTAGGATAACGCGTTTATGACCCAACGATCATTATATTTGATGAAATAAATTGTAACTGCCTATGAGAATACAAGAAATAGTTCCAAACAAGCCAAACTTTTAGAAGGAATATGTCAAAGGGTATATTAATATTCAACAGTTAATACGGGCTGATTACAGGTTCATATAATTATATTGAACAGCTGCATCAGTTAACCATAATTTACTTCTATAGTAGTTAACATATTGATATACACCTAAAACAAGTTATGGATCCTTTCAGATCAGAGCCCCCGCCACACCCCAAAAGATGTTCACTAGCAAACTACAAACTGCTTGAGATTCCTTTGTCATATGGAGTAACTGTTAGTATGAAGTGGAGCACAAAAAAACCAACTGTAGTGGTGAGTTTAGTAATAACAATCGTGAGACAAAATGCTATTGCGAAATTTATATTTTTGTGACAAATTGACTGTGACATGTTTGAAAACTTAAATTTTTTAAGGAAAATATTCATTTTAAAAATTTAACAATGTAATTAAAAAAGTCAAAATAGCACTTCATATATGTAAAGAAGAAATTAATGATTAAAACAACAAATTTTTATAAAAATAAACAAAATTCATAATCACCTTATTGGAGGCAGGTATCAAACTCAATATACCTCAGTAATGCATGTATGTCACCTAGCTGCAGTGAGGCAACAACATCATTTTCATGTGTAATTAAAGCAACAAAAGCTAAAACATATGGAGCCAAAATAGTTCAAGACAGGATGCTCGCATTAGATATGTTGAAGAAGATATGCACAAGTCCAAAACCTAGCATGCTGACTTGTTTAGAACCTGCACAATAAGTTTTGAAGCATTCCATGCACTATAATTTATTCCAAATAAATCCACATGGCAAGTAAACAAAGTTTGAAAAACCAGTAGAAGACAGTAGTGCTACTAATACATGAGCAGATGTTAAAATTTCCATCCAAGAATCAAAGAAAGACCTAGTGCTTGGATTCTTTGCTCAACAAATATTTCTTGAGAACATCCATGACAGAACCAAAATCAGCCTTGACCTGCACAGGCGGGTTTGCATACTGGCAAGCCAAGTCCTTTATGGCATGTGAGTGATAATCAATCTTTGATTGAGTAAACTTCAGGCCATGAGCTGTACTAACCACCACAGTCCTATCAGTCGGCCCGATAACCCCTTTATTCCTTAATTTGATCAAGGCAGTCAATGCCACACCAGTGTGAGGGCATATGAACATCCCTGTTGAGTCTGCCTGAGCTGTGGCATCCATCAGTTCCTCCTCTGTAGCCTCTTCTACAATGCCATTGCAATTTTTCAGCGCGAAAACAGCTCTATCAATAGATACAGGGTCACCAATCTGAATGGCAGAAGCAAAAGTAGAACTTGCCTTTACAGCTTTAAAATCCTTCCAGCCTGATTTGTAATGGAGATAGAGAGGATTGGCATTCGCCGCCTGAGCACAAACAAGCCTAGGAATCCTATCGACGAGACCTAATTCTTTGCACATGTGGAACCCTTTATAAAATGCATAGATATTCCCAAGGTTTCCACCCGGAACTATGACCCAATCTGGAACCTGCCAGTCAAATTGCTGCAGAATTTCAATGGCTGCTGTCTTTTGACCCTCTAGTCTCAGGCTGTTTAGGGAATTGGCCAGGTAAATGGGTAATTCTGAAGTGACTTCGCGAATCAACTGCATACAGCCATCGAAGTCAGTGTCTATGCTCAACACGAATGCCCCGTTTGCAATGGGCTGAACCAATTGGGCAAGGGATATCCTATTTGCTGGCAGGAAGACAATGGATGGGATACCTGCGGAAGCACAGTAAGCAGATAGGGCAGCGGAGGTGTCCCCTGTTGAGGCACATCCCACCCCTACAACTGGCTTCTTCATCTTCCTCAGCCGGTTAACCTGACTAACTAAAACTGTCATGCCCAGATCTTTGAAGCTTCCGGTGTGGCTAATGCCGCAGTGTTTGACCCATAGGTCATTCATGCCTAGAAACAGTTTGCCGTAACGCTCTGCCCAGAAGAGGTTGGAATTCCCCTCGAAAGCGCTCACTATATCATCGCCGTCGATTTCCGGTAGGACCCACTCCTTCTTAGACCAGACGCCGGAGCCGTATGGCCACGTCGTCTTCCCGACGCGAGAGTCGAACAGAGAGCGCCAGTACTGCCCATCGAACTTCTTCAAAGCATCCATATCATGCTGGACATCGAGCAATCCACCTGAGCGGCTGCGATAGACGATTTCGTCGAGAGAATACCACTCGTCGGAGTCCGCATCGGCATTGAAGGGAACGTAGCGGGCGGAGAAGTTGTGGGATAAGCAGATCCGTCGCGCCTCTTCGCGGATATTCAAGTCAGCCGGGCGCCGGTATTTTTGGGCTTGGGTGGCGGCGGGTTCGTCGGAATGAGCAGTAGCTTTAATCGGAGTGAAGAAGCGGGCGGCCGTAGGGATTTGAGGTTTAGGTTGGGGTTGGGTGTAGGGTGACAGAAAGGACGAACTTAAGGAAGAAGCTGCCATTTTGCTGAGAAAGGAGAAAACTTTGATGCAGTGGAGGATTTTGAAGGGGGGAAACGAAATGTGAGGGGGAGAGGTGGTAATAGCTCCTTGATGGACTCCACTTCGACCTGTACAAAACCGGGCCGGCCCACCCAACCGGCCCGCACAAATGGGCGGGCTTGGGCATATATATTTGCCCACCGGTCCGGCCCGAGCCCGGCCCGCAATAACATATGGGCGGGCTTGGGTTAGGGTGTAGGCCCGTTCGGGCCGATAAGCCCGGCTCGATACATTTAGTGTGTATATATATATATACACTAATTTATTTATTTATTTACATGTACACATGTATATTTATATTTACTAATATAATTTACCTTAATACATATTTATAGTTTATTATATGTAAATTTAAGTTTTTAGTTCTTAACAACTAGCCCAACTAATATAGTATCTATTTTTGTACTTAAAGATAATACTTTTTGCTTGAAATTTAAATTTTAGATATAGTTTCTCATTATTATTTTTATGTAAGTATTATGTTTGTATGTGGTGAAAGGCCTATGAATATTTTAAGCGTATTAACAATTTTTTAAATTCTGTCATATTATTTTTAAAGTATTAAAAAATTATATAATTTAGAAAAAATTAAAGTTTTTCCGGGCCGGGAGGCCCGGTGGACTACCCGGCCCGCTCTTACGGGCGGGTATGGACACGGAGTTAGGCCCGTTTTTGCGGGCCGGGCCGGGCCCGCCCCACACATGATGGGCAAAAAAATTATAAAAAGCCCGGCCCGAACCCATTTTTGTGCAGGTCTAACTCCACGTATGGCACTAAGCATAGTAAAAAAAAAGGCCCGCAAAGACCGGCCGTGATCCGCGACATCTAGGCGGAGTGCAGGTCGTCGCAAACTGCCAAGCTCTTGGTTCTGAGATTTTCTTTCTTCCGTTCTTCTTCAGTTGGGCTGAGCTGTGGGTTGGGAATTAATTTTGGGGTGGGCTGAGAATTAATTTGGGGTGGGCTGATAACAAAACCGATACATATATACTAATAATAAAAATAAAAAATAAATTGGGCTGGGCTAGAGCCCACTACTGCCATCACAACCATCCGCCCCTACAGGAACATTCAATGACCCGGCAAGATCTCAGCCGGGGCGAACCGGCGAAGAATTGTGGCTATTTCGCCCTAATGTGGCTCTTTCCATCTTTTGGAGACTGCTAAGACTATACAAGAATAAAAAGGATTTAATGATGTTCTCCGCGCATCCTCTGTGTTTCTCGGCGCACCTTATTTCGCCGATGTTATCAATTTATTTCTTTTTTCTTTTTGTTTAGTTATTTCAGTGTTTTATGTAGTCATGGACCCGGGCCGGTTCCGGTTCCAGGCCCGGGCGGGCTTTTTTTGGAAAGGAAGGCCCGGGACCGGCCCGGGTAGCCACCGGGTCCGGTCCGGGCCGAGCCTCCGGTTTGGTCATATTCTTTTTTTTTTTTTTTGCTTTCCTAACCCCCCCCCCCCCCCCAAACCCCTCCTAACCATCAAGCCCAACCCGGGTAACCCCAAAAAATGAAAAAAAAAAAAAAATCAATTCGGGTCGGACCCGGGCCCGACCCAGCCGGGCCGGTTCGCCAAATACAAGGCCCGAGCCGGGACCCGCCCCCCCACCTGGCCTAGGCCCGAGCCGGACCCGGACCCGAGAACCGGGCCGGTTCCGGTTCCGCACAGTAGCGGGCCGGGCGGCCCGAACCGGGTCCATGACTAGTTTTATGTAGTACTACGTATATAAATCGATTTGCCCCCACTAACCGTTCGATTGATTACCGTAAGTCCATAACCTTTGTTTAAAGAATTTTCTTTGTCAAATATGATAGGATTAGGATTAGTGGTCCAAATCACACAATTCATATATATAATTAAAAACTCATAGCCGTTTTTAGGGATTCAACAGGTTATCCAGAATCGGGTCCCGGATTTAAGGGGCCCCAGTTTTTAAAAAAATTATTAGTATTATATACTACCTCCGTCCCAAATTGAGTTGCAAACTTTATTTTTCTTAGTCACACAGTCTCGTTTTGTTCACTTAATTAGGATGCCGATTTTTAATTATATTCTAATTTGGAGTTTACAACTTTGAAGAGATTTTAATATAGTTTTTGAATATGTAAATTTTAATTATTAAAAATTGAATTAATTATCAATATGGAGGGTTGACTTTTATTATTGATTGACCAAAAAATGTTGACTTTGCAAAACAAATTGGGACGGAGGGAGTACTATGTAGTAATTAATAGGAAAAATTGAAAACAATAATCCCAATTATTGTTGGTCCACTAACAATAATCTCAACTATTGATTATTTTTGTATAATCCCAACTATATGGACTGTCCCTCAATAATGGTCCATGACCGGATATTACCTACTATAACAGGTGATTTTTAATATAATTAAGCATAGAAATAAAAAAGTTGAAATTATTTATAGGGATTACCTGTTATATCTCTTCTCATCCACTTTAGAAACTATAGGAATTTATTTATAGTTGGTCACGTCGGACCATTATTGGCGGAAGGTCCCCAAAGTTGGAATTATTCTGAAATAATCTATAGTTGGGATTATTATGAGCAGACCGCCAATAGTTGGGATTATTACTATCAATTTTTTCTAATTAATATTAATATTATATATTAATACTAATCAGTAAATGAGGAAGCGGTTCAGCCCAGCTAGTCGCCTACTCACTCTCCCTTACGAGAGGTCTTGGGTTCAAAACTCAATAGAGTGAGTTTCAGCCCTCATTACTTCAGGCTCCCTCCCCCAGACGCCCCCGGAGTATTAAAAAAAACAGAAACTAACCAGTAAATACAGTTACCTAATAAGGAAGAAAAATATGGATTTAATGCATCAAACCCCCTCGTGAAATATAAATTCGGCGCATTAGCCCATTGTGATTTAAAAAATGCGTCAAACCCCCTTGTGTTATCACTAATCATTTTTCATTGGTTCTTTAATTTTACTTTTTTTAGTTCTCTTTTAATTAGTATTCCATTGATTGAGTATAAGTATTTGGATTGAGTTTTTTTTTCAATTTTTTATATTAATGTGGCATCCCGATTTTACATTTTGAATCTGGGCCTCCAAGCTCACTAGACGGTCCTGTTAAAACTATAAAGTAGGCAAACGTTTATTCAAGATTTTTTTCAATGAAAAATTCTCATGAATAATCTCAACTATTGTCGTTCTTCTTATATTAATCCCATATATTGATAATTCTAATATAATCTCAAGTATAAGGGTCATCTTCCCATTATACACCAGTGACCTGCGTTTACCTATTGAGCAGGTCATTGAGACACGTGTCAACTTTTTATTGGTTTTCATATGTTTATTTTTTCTTTTCTATTTTAATTTCTTTCCTTTTTCTCTTGGGGTTTTCTTCTTCGGGTCTCCTCTATTCTTCAGGCTCCACTCTAAAGGGTTGGTGACTACAAAAGTTAGGTGGTGGCCGGCGAAAAGAAACGATGAACAGATTTCATCCTCGTCTAAGATGCCTCGAAGATCCACCCTATTACCCATGTCATTTTTGTTTTCCTCTTCATCCTTCCTTGGCCGACCAACGGTTTTCTGGACAACCGAAGGAATCAATAATATGGTGATGTCAGCATAAATGGCCAACTGAGACAGAGAGAAGAAGCGCCAGATGGACTCCATTCCATCTACGCCGCCTTGAAATTCCATCCCACCTGTTGTCACTATTTCCGGCGTGACTCCGGTGAAGAAGAAGCTTGAAGAAGGGAGCCTCTAGACACGTGAGATAGTTAAGCCTTCTCTGGTTTATCCCTAACTCAGTAGCTTGGTTCTAAGTGTTTGGAGCATAGTTTCACTGCTGGCGGCCCAGCAGAGAAAGCTCCTGCTCTTCCTCTTTTTTGCTTTTTTTTTATTGTTTTTGTTTTTGTACCGGATAAGTAGGTACACGGCCACTGGAGATCAATTATAGAAGACCATCGTTGAACTTAAGATTATTCTAGAATAATGAATAGATGAGATTAATAATGGAAGACTGTTAATAGTTAAGATTATTAATGTGAATTTTTCCTTTTTTCAATCATCAAAAATAATGGCAGATGCTGAAGATTGTCGATCTAAAAAATAGTTCTTAAAATCTGCACATGTGAGAATAATATATCACATTAGACAAGAACATATAGGATTTTAACAATAGGGTAGTGCACATGCACAAAATTACCAAACCAAAATTAAAGATATCAGGTCAAACTATATACTACACTATACTCGAGTCTTTTTCTTCAAAATTTAAAGACCATACAAATGAGAGCACACAAATGAAAAAAATAAGCAATGTAACGTTTTATGAAAAATAATTGTTTGTCGCACAACATCAATTTATTTGATGGGGTCAATTTTTAAAGAGAGAAACCTCTCATATTGGTCCATTTAAAATGTTTTTAATTGGAATTATTTCGATCACAAACAAAATTAAATTCAAGTAAATCAGACCATATACGACTACACTTAGATAGATCAAATCAAATTTGACTGGGCTTAAACAATACGGGGTAATGTAATTCACATCATTCGGTCGTTTGTTAGACCAAAACAGACAGAAAATTTTGTTTACATGTGTCATTTTATAAAACATTGTGTGTTTGCTGCATGCTCCATAGTCCAGACTATTGGTTGATAGTCAATTTTGAAATTCATTAAAATTTGATATTGCTTATGAGGTGTAGCCAATGTTCTAAAAGGCGCTAGGTGCTAGTCGGCCGCCAGCCCAGCGCCTAGCTCATAGGCGGCTAGGCGGGTGCCTAGTCGGGGACATAGAAATTGCATTTTTATCTATATTTTTGCATAAATATGATAAGTAATATTGTATTTTTTTGTGTATAAAATACGTATATACATATACATTAACAAACATGAATGATAGAATTATCACATTTAATCATACATAGTATATGATAACTAATCACTTAACTTCATTATGTTATAAATATAAATAAAGATAAATTTTAGGTATATATACAAACATATATAGTTTTATCTTAATTTACAACTTCATTTCTTTATATCCATGGCT